AATAGCTAGGAGGACAAACATCTGGACATGAATCAACACCCCTGAGGCTTCTTGGGGAGTAAAACTCAAAAAAGACCGGACTCCCTGCAGGCATGCAGGCCACACTAAACTGTGTAGTAAAAGAACGTTGGCGGCTAAGGGTCACATGAGGACATGTTTTTCTAGGTCACTCTGAATACTGTTTTGCCTCTGCTGGATCCTTTTCCTCACTGAGCTATGAATCAGTAATGTGCTTTTGCTCATTTATACTCTTTTCTTGGGACCTCATCCTGAGTTTTCAATGCTTACTGGACATTTTTCTCACATCTATTATCTAAAACTCAACTTGCCTAAAACCTGCCTCAAGAAAGAATGCTTACAAATCAATAAGGGGGGAAAAATGAAAAGAAAAAAAGAACAAAGGACATAAGCAGGCAATTCATCAATGGCCAATAAACATATGAAAACATGCTCAGCCTCATTAGACATTTTTTAAAATAACACTGAAAAATTACCTTTTGCCTGTCTTATTGATCAATGTTTACAAGACCCAGGGTTCCACTGTCATAATCCAGATCTAAAGCTCTTTTTAAAAATATGATCCCAGCCCTGGCCGGTTTGGCTCAGTGGATAGAGCGTTGGCCTGCGGATTGAAGGGTCCCAGGTCTGATTCCCATCAAGGGCACATGGCCAGGTTTCTTGACTCCATCCCCAGTGGGGGGCATGCAGGAGGCAGACCATTGGTGATTCTCTCTCATCATTGATGTTTCTATCTCTCTTCCTCTCTTTTCCTCTCTGAAATCAATAAAATTAAAAATATATATACTAGTGTATATGATCCCAGCCCTGGCTGGTTTGGCTCAGTGGATAGAGGGTTGGCCCACTGACTGAAGGGTCACAGGTTCAATTCCGGTCAAGGGCATGTACCTCAGTTGCATGGGTCTCTCTCACATCAATATTCCTCTCTCTGTGTCTGTCCCCCTCCCTTCCACTCTGTAGAAAATCAGTGGAAAAATATCCTTGAGTGAGGATTAACAACAAAAAATCTGATATCAAAGTATCCAAGTTTGTTACCACCTTCTTTTATCCACTGGGAACTCTTCCCTCCAGGAGAATGATCTCAGTTATCTTCACAAAAGGAGCACATGGAGGCCTTTTGACATTTAGAAAAGCTAAGAAAACAATATGGGCCTGATATTTATAACTGGAGACCTGTGGTAACTCTAAAGGACAGGGAAATGTTTTCCTTAAAAGTTACTAATGTAGCCCCAACTGAGGATTGTGCAACTTTTGTCAACTGTACTAAAAACTGTTTTATGCTTTCAGCAGGCGTGGAGGTGAATTGCAACACCACCACTAATGTACCTTATGCCTTTGGTCACGTCGACTTGCCTGCAGGATTGTCTCTAATATATGGAAGGACTGTTTATTCCTGTGTTCCAGCAAACAGTTCCAGGGGACCATGCTCTCTAGAAGACTGACGGACTCCACGGGAGCTCTCCCTTGCACCTGATTGTAACAGTGATTCGCTCCTTTCTTGCCCCGCTGAATATATTTTTATGTGTAATGCCAGTCATGGTAACCTCATTGAATACAGAAATAAGTAGATCAGCCCGCACTGTGGTAAAGGCTTTGAATGCCAACTTTCTAGCCTTTAGTGCCATCAGTATCAGTCAAGAAGTAGGACAAGTTAGGGAAGTGTTAATGGAAAATCAGGCAGCTATAGACTGCCTCCTTTGAGCACATTGCGGACCAGTAGTTTTATTGCTAGCTTCACCCAGTGGCCAGATAGGTTTCTATTGAATGAGTACAAAAAAACATTTTTCATAAATGTTAAAGGCACACTTTAAAATTAAATACCCGTTGCATTTTGAAGTTATTTATTGCATGTTCTTACAAGCTAATATCTTTTCAAAGTATGATACTTTGTAAAACACTGTGTAATATGAAGTGGAACTAAACAAAGCTGGCAAATGTAATGCATTTCTCTTCTCTTACCATTACTTTTGCATACTTGCAAACTTTAGTAGGATATTTCTTTTTATGTAAAGTTTCTGCAATTGAAACGCTATTGTAATAGTTATCTTGGTATATGCGATGCCCTAATTCCAGATACGGCAGAAGTAGTGAAGAATAGAGTCATTCAATTTTTTTCCTTCACCTGTGTTAATTTCCATATTGCAAATATACCCAGTCTTGCTCTCACATACCATTCTTACAAGTCAACCATATTTAATAATTTTTGCTGGGTTGTAAGTTTGAAATAGAAGAGGTCGCCTCCAGGGAATCATGCCTTCATCTAATGATAATTCTCACGTAGGTTTGTATATTGTTTGAAATTTACTAATAAAATGGTCGAGTACCGATTGAGTTTTAAATAGCCTGGATGAATATTTAGTCATGTTTGCATTGTCACTGAAATGCCAATAAGTCCATATTTGTTCAAAACGATTTCGACTGATCGTCTGAGGAAATATTGGAACAGTTAGAACTGGATTTGTAGACCAATATTCTTTCCAAGTATCCTTTCGAGTACACCCCATTAGCAGTATAAGTCCTAAAAAAATTTTCATATCTGTTGGAGTAACAGGAGACCACTTTATTGCTTTCGAAATTTTGTGCTTTCCCAAATTTTGTTTATAACATATGTTCGATTGATGACAAAATAGTTCAAACAGATCGTCATCAAAAATCAAGTTGGTGACTTCAATGATGTTCTTAGAATCAGATGGTATAACTGTAATGCCAGAATTACCTTCAAATTTTTCCAAATTGGGTTGAAAGTCCTCTTTTGACCAATCATTATCTCGGCAACCAAAACGCAAATTACACTCAGAATCATGTGTGGAATTGTTCAAATTTTCAGGTTCAGAATCACTTGAAATTACTATTTTTCACCTTTTTGAAGGAATAACTATACCACTGCCACTGTCAAAGCTTTCATCACTTTCACTTGAAATATCTGATAAATTGTCAGCAAATATGTCCAGAATTTTATCATGTTCTTCGTCACTATCCATGGTTACTGAGCACTTTAAAAATATCAAATTGATATAAAAAAGTTATTTTTTATTACTAACGACAAGAGACTAATCACTTTTAATTCCTTTTGTAATTTTTAACTTCAGTGAACACATGTTCCGTTACACTGTTTCTCTCTAAATGACAATGAACAGCCGAGAATTCTCGTGATTGGCCACAAGCCTTAGAACAAAACCACGAGAATTCTCGTGATCCGTCCACAAAATCACCGATGTGAAGAATTTAAAGGACTCTGCTGTTTCAACCGGAATCATAGCTCAAAGAGCATAAAGTAAAGCAAGTAAATGAAGTAGTGTCCAAGATAAAACAAAGAGAGGGATTCTTTGTTTTTGATTTGTTTGGATTTGGTTAGTTTCAAACTAACCTGGGGGCTACCTAGTGTTACTGGTCTTGGGGAGGCATTTGTTTTCATTCTTTTCATCTTTTTCAGTATCATAGCTTGTTGTTGTTGCATACAATGTGCTCCCTCAAGTGTATTCCCAAATCCCCTACAAGACTCTAATGCAGTGGTTCTCAACCTTGGCTGCACATTAGAATCACCTGGGAATCTTTTTAAAATCCTGATTTCTGGGCCTCATCCTCCGGAAATTCTGTTTCTTTGTTATGGGGTGGGGCCACAAAGGCAGCAGCAGGCAAGCAAGCTACCAAGGACAGGGGTGTAAGAGTGAGCACCTCCTGCCAACCCAGAACCTCTTGGGTGGGGCCACAACATTAGTAACAAAGAAACAGAATTTCTGGAGGATGAGGCCCAGAAATCAGGATTTTAAAAAGATTCCCAGGTGATTCTAATGTGCAGCCAAGGTTGAGAACCACTGCTCTAATGCTAAGATGCATGCTCAACAGCAAAATGATTACTTCCATACGGAACTAATCTTTTTTTTTTCAAGTGAAACTAATCTCATCGAAATAAGATAGACTAACAGTGGGGAATGACGGGGAAATTAAGAAGTTAAAAATGTTTCGTTTTACTTATATATACGGTAATAGAAGACTATTGTTTCAGGGACTGAAATGTATGACTGGACCTACCCCGCCTTCAGGAGACCCACAAGCAATTCGACCTTTGTGTCCCAGGAGGACTGCAAGAGACCAAGACAGTATCTGAACCATTGTGCTCCAGGGAGAGAATGCCAGCCTCCCAGGAAGCAGATAAAGAGCCACCCGAGGGTAGATGAAGGGATGCTTGGAAAATGACCGGGCTGCAGCTTTATCTGATTAAACCTTTTCCCTGAACCCCAGACCCTTTACCTACTTTCTCCTGAACTTCAAACCCTTTACCTACACTTTTCTCCTCCTTATAAAAAAGGTCAGCTTGAGATGAGATGTAAGACGGTCTTTTAGGGTACGTAACACACCGTCTTCCAGATCGCCAGCCATGTGAATTAAAGCACCCATAAAAATTCAATCCTTGTCTCTAGTTACTGGTTCTGGTAGTGACAGGCAGCACGAACGCCAACTTTTCCAGTTTCACAAGGAGGTAAAAAAAAGGGACAGCATGTTCATAGCAATTTTTTTTTTGATAATAGAAAAAAATCTAAACAACTTAAACGTCTACTAGTAGGAAATGGATGAGTAAATAATTCCGTGTGGTAAGCCTTTAGCTTGCAGCCAAGTGATACTTGTTGAGCGCCTACAAGAGGCCAATCTCTGACAGTGCAGGGAAGAAAACACCAGCCCTGTTCCTATGTTGATGGCACTAATGGAAGGTACTTTAATGCATTCCACCGCCCAATTATTCAAAAAAGATCATCTCGTCACGTAATACAAATTTGTAAAAAAAAAAAAAAAAATCTGTCATGGACAAAGGGAAGAGGACGCGCCACTTTGGGCCAGCGGGAAGTCAAAGCTCGCCCCGCTCCGGCCGGGACCGAGGCCACCAGGAACGCCGGGCATTGCGTGCTCCCAGCCGGCCGCGCGCCGCTGTAGCGCAGGCTCCGCCCCCTGCTCCTTCAGAGGGCCCCGCCCCTCCGCGCACCGCGCATGCTCCCCGCGCGCTCTCGCTCTCCCTGGGATGCGGCCGATCCCGCGGCGCAGCCTCCCCGGCGTCTCCTGAGGGGGACCCCCAGGCCTCGCAGCCCTGCAGTGACCGCGCCTCCGCCGCCCGCGCGCTGCCGCCGCAGTCCCAGCCGTGGTGCTTGGTGTAAACAGCAGCCCCCGCGCGCCCGGAGCTGCCACCCCTCGGCCGGCCCGGCGAGCCCGGGCGTGCACCGAGCTGACGGAGGATGGCCACCTCCGTGGTGGAGAAAAGCTGCAAGAAGAAGACGGAGAAGAAGCTTGCTGCTCGAGAAGAAGCGAAATTGTTGGCGGGCTTCATGGGTGTCATGAATAACATGCGGAAACAGGTACCGCCTGTGTGGGAGTGGCGGACGGCGGGGCGGGGAGGGGGGGTGGCGGAGTCCGGACTCTGGCCCCTTGCTGCCTGGGCCGAAATGCGCGCGCCCTGTGGACGCAGACCCTCTTCTTCCTCCGTCCTCGCCCTTCCTCCCATTTCCACGCCAGCCAGCTGCTGTTAGGAGAGGGTCGCTTTCAGTGCCTCCTGGTCTATCGATGCCTGGACTCCCAGGTCAGATCCTGGGAGCCTCCCCGGGCTGGCATTCGGCGCCGGTGTCGGTGGTGTGGCGGCTCTGCCCTAGGCATGGCCTTGGAAGGCGAGGAGCCACCCCTCCACCGGCGAGCCGTGTAAGCGCGGTGTCAGGTGTCAGGAGATCGGGTGCGAAGGAGCCCAATGGCACAGCCCAGCCAGAAGCCCCCGCAGCGGGGAGAGGAGCATGGCCGGGCCTGAAATCTAGCTCCTCTCGCATAAGCATCCCCGCCCCCTTCCGAGGTTGCGGCCCCCTCCCGTGCATGTTAATTTCGAGCAGAGACAGCCTTCGATCGACGCCGTGCCGCTGCCTTTGGAGGGCCCCGTGCGCCTCGGCTGCGCGGACGGGCTCTTTGTTCTGTCTGGGGTAGGAGGCGCCTTCGTGCAGGGCTTCACGCGTCGGCCAAAGGTGGGTTATGAAAAGAACCGATTTTAATACGCCAGAGGATGTCCGCTAGAGTTTTGTGTGTGTGTGTTTTTAATTCCATAACATACCAATAGAGCATTTAAAAAAATCACTTGGTTACTTTTTTGATTCTGTAAACTTGATAGAAAATAGGAGTCTAAGGAGACTTGTAAGCGTGTTTCGGTTTTGTGACCCTGGCCCAGTTTTTCAAAAGGACAAAAGCAGGTTGTCGGAGTACCTGCCAGACCTGGTTTGCTTATCTAGTGGTTCTGATGGGAATGGGGATGACCGTAGAGGAATTTAAGATCCTTATGAAGATATTTAGCTTTGGCTTCTTTAAGGGAATTCTGGCCGATGGGATCTTGTCTTTGTTCATCGGCTCCTGGCTGGCGTGGCGCATGAAAGCAGGCGATCCTCGGTGGGAATGCCTTTCAATCTTTTCCTAGCCTTTGTGCTGAAAGAGCTGTGAAATGCCTGAATTCAGTATTTTATGTAACTTACTTTATGTATCTATTTGTATGTATCCATTCGTGTTGCTTTCTTTCATTGTGACCACACCACCATTTTTATGTATTACAGCACCACTGACTTCAAATTTCTGGTGCATTTAACTACGGTAGTTGGACAAGGTCCACCAGGGCTCACATTTGTTTTCAGCAACCTTCCCACTCCTTCAGATAATGCGTTTTCTTCCGTGGACTGTAGCATGATAAAGCATTGCCTCATTTCTTGCAGAGACAACGTGCTGGTAGGTTACAGTGTCACATGTTTACTTGAGGAGAGGGGATTGCCTGAGACTGTGTAATTTAGCTCCTTAGGTTTTAAAATGGATTTATATCCATTGCATAGACTTAGCTTTGGACTATATTAACATCTGTTTACCTACTGTCAAAATAGAAATACAGTAACTGAAAAATCAGGATTCTGTACTGAGTAGGAAGGGAAAATGGATGCTGGGTGACATTTCTTCTACGGTGGTTAACTGACCTTAATCTGCTGGATCCTCCTTTTGTCAATGGCTTTGTCTGAAGTCCAGCAGTTCTCCAATAGTACTTTTCCCAACTTCATGGAATCCTGCATCTTTTGCATCTAAGATGTGTAGGTTCATTTTGCAGTTGATTTACATTGCACTTGTGTTGTTCTATTTAACATCATAACACAAGAGAGACTCACCAAGAATGACTGACAAGGGCAGTTGATAGGGATTGGCAGGAATAGAAGCTGGTTTGGCCAGAGAAGGAATGTTTGAGTGAGGACCGATTTTATATGTGTCTTTGTTCTTTCATGAATGTTTTTGTGTAATGACTATTTTTGCTTACCCTTATGACCTCAGTACTTTGGGAATCAGGATAATGAGTACCTGACTGACAAGGATTCCTCTTTGAAACATTTCTGTAAGAATTTGAGAACACTGCAATTAGAAAACCTGAATTCCAATCCCTGGGCTACCATTAATTAGTTTTATTATTTTTAGATAATTTGATTTAGGTCATGTCATCTCTCTGTAACATAGTAGCCAATCTTATACATAGTGATGAAAGGGGGTTCTGCAGAACCAGCAGCTTCAGCTTTTTTTTTTTTTTCAACTTCTTATGGAGCCTTTTCCTCCTTCACCCTTTCAGTCATTTCCGGCCTTTTATTTTTAAGTGCATTTTCCAATGAAGTAGAGGATTCACGTAAAAGGATACAAATCATAAAGTGCAGCTCAATGAATTGTTACCAAGTGACCCCACCACCACCACCAAGAAACATAACATGACTAATACACCAGAGGTCCCTCCTTATGCCCTTCTCAGTCACTATCCCTCAAAGGTAACTATTATTCTTCTATCACCATAGATTTTTCTTTTACTTTTTTTGAACTTATATAAATGAAATCATAAATACTCTTGTCTTAGTTTCTTAAAGACTATGTTTGTGATTTTTATCTATGCTGTTATATGTACTAGTAGCTCTAGTTCATCCTCATTCTATATAGTATTCCATTGTATAAAAACACCACAGTTTATCCATCCTGTCGTTATGGACATCTGGGTCATTTTCAGTTTGGGACTGTTGAGAAGAGCACTACTTTGAACATTTTTGTACATGTCTTTTGATGTGCACATGTTTGCATTTCTGTTGGGAAATACCTAAGAATGGAGTTGTTGAGTTATAGATTATGCTGCATAAAGCTTTATAGATACTGTCATAGTTTCCAACATTTTGCCAGTTCACATTTCTGCCAGCTGTGTGTGAGAGAGGCTTTTGCTCTACATCCTTGTCAATACTTAGTATTCTCAGTCTTTATAATGTTAGCAATTCTAGTGTGTGTATAGTGGCATCTTATTTAATTAGGTTGCACACCTTTTCATTTCTTTTCCTAAATTTTTGTTTATATTAATTTTCTTACCTGATGGCACTAGTAAAGGGCATTACAAAGCAGGACTGAGTCATAGTCACTACTGCACATATCCAGTTGTTTCTATTGTGTCAATGAAGTCCAGGAGACCTTAACATTGACGGATACATTTTGAGACCTTCCTGGGTACCACTATAGTTTCCTCATGTTAAATGAACTAAAGCATACCTGGAATTTAAAAGCTTATGTAAGCTCTATTGAAAGTGATAGGAGAGGCCGAAACCGGTTTGGCTCAGTGGATAGAGCATCGGCCTGCGGACTGAAAGGTCCCAGGTTCGATTCCGGTCAAGGGCATGTACCTGGGTTGCGGGCATATCCCCAGTAGGAGATGTGCAGGAGGCAGCTGATCAATGTTTCTCTCTCATCGATGTTTCTAACTCTCTATCCCTCTCCCTTCCTCTCTGTAAAAAATCAATAAAATATATTTAAAAAAAGAAAGTGATAGGAGAGAACCACAAGGCTGATTTGAGCATTGGATGCTGGGTAGTCATCTAGGCTCACTAACTAAAATGGCTCAACTTCTGTACACTCACCTCTCCAAGACTGTAAATTACTGCATATCAATAACCTTAGGGTCTCTTATGAAACACTTCTTGAGCACTTATTTTCTACCAGCCATTCTGCAAAGTGTTTTACATGCTTTGTCATATTTTATTCTTATAACAACTGCCATCTTCAACAGATACCTATTCTGTCTTAGGTAAAAAAAACAACGTATTACAAGGATACAGGAGCCCTAACTGGTTTGGCTCAGTGGATAGAGCATCGGCCTGTGGACTGAAAGGTCCCGGGTTCAATTCCGGTCGGGGGCATGTACTTTGGTTGCAGGCATATCCCCAGTGGGAGGTGTGCAGGAGGCAGCTGATCGATGTTACTCTCTCATCAATGTTTCTAACTCTTTATCCCTCTCCCTTCCTCTCTGTAAAAAATTAATAAAATATATTAAAAAAAAAAAAGTACACAGGAGTTTACAGCATTGACCACAGCTGGGAGACAAGCAGGTGTGGCAGATAAGCAGGAACCAGGGATTCTCTGGTAGCAAGACTGCAGAAACCCTGGAGTCGAGGTTACTGTGCAGGAACAGTCTAAACCACTTGCTGTTGCTGCCATTAAGGTGGTTTTCCCTCCACCCATCGTTCACTCAAGGTTCAGAATCCTGGAGATAGTTGTCTAATTGGCTGGCCTTCTATCGTTTGCCAGATTTGGGCTCTACTGTGAATAGAAAAAAAAAATATCTGACTTTCAGCTTTCATAATGAGAGGCGGGTTCTGAGAATTGCCCTTTCCAAGATAGTTCATAATGAGGAATTTTCTGGAAAATGGAGCTTGGGGTTCTAATAGGCAGGGGAAATTGGTTGCTAAGTAACCAGGATCTACAAGTGTCCACTGCGGTCTACACCTTAGGTTGTCCAATACAAACATGTGTGCTCCTATTCTCATTCCTATCATTAAAAAACAAAGTCACCAATCAAACTTTTTCACTTAACCATTTCTAACTCCAAGTTCAAGATCACTTAGTGATATTCATTTATCCTACCATCATTTCAGATCCTAAGGTCTAAGTAATAATAGATGTTTTGGTATGATTCTGGATGGAAAAGAAGATAGGAAACTAGTTAAAACTTATCCTAGATCAGTGATGGTGGACCTTTTGAGCTCGGCATGTCAGCATTTTGAAAAACCCTAACTTAACTTTGGTGCCGTGTCACATATAGAAGAAATTTTTTGATATTTGCAACCATAGTAAAACAAAGACTTATATTTTTGATATTTATTTTATATATTTAAATGCCATTTAACAAAGAAAAATCAACCAAAAAATGAGTTCGCGTGTCATAGGTTTGCCATCACTGTCCTATACAATAAAAGCCTAATATGCTAAGTGTCTGGTCATCCAGTTGGCCGTTCAGTCAAAGAGTAATATGCTAATGATATGCTAAGGCCACTCAACTGCTTACTATGATGTGTACTCACCATTAGGGGGCAGACAGTCAACTGGTCAACCAGTCGCTATGATGTGCACTGACCACCAGGGGGGAGATGTTCTGACGGGTAGGTGAGCTTGCTGCTGGGGTCAGGCAATCGGGACTGAGTGAGACGGGCCAGACATGCCCGGGAGCCCTCCCACGTCACGATTGTGCACCGGTGGGGACCCTTGGCCTGGCCTGTGCCCTCTCGCAATCCAGGACCCCTCGGGAGATGTCGAAGAGCCGGTTTCAGTCCAATCCCACAGGCCAGGCCAAGGGACTGCACTGGTGCACGAATTCATGCACCGGGCCTCTAGTATAAATATAAGAACAAGGATGGAAATGAAAGTAGAAGCCACATTCATTGTTTATTATTATTTATTCATTAATATTTTTATTATTTATTATTGTATTTATGACTTCTTTCACTATCTGTTCCTATTCTTTGTCTTTAGCCAGCTCCTCACGGTTCGTTATCCAATGGGGTGACCTAATCCTTTAGTCCTAGGTATCTTAAGCCTTTGGTCTTGCCTGTATATACAATTACTTCAGTCTTTTACTAACATTTACCACTAGATTTGGCAGACCAGTGTTGGGTCTGGGATTCGATGTTACTTAAAGGCTGATTAGTTATCCTGTTGCTGTTTAATGGATGTTGGCAGAAGACATGAGACTCTGGTGTCAGAGACCACAGACTTGATTACTTACAACACAGCATTGTGAGTGTCAGCAGTGTAGTTCCCCTTGTCCTACGAGTGCTGTGAGGGCAACATGGTGGGGGCCCAATGGGTGGACACTGAGCTAAGAAATCTACCATTTTTATAGCAAGCAATAAGCAAGCCTGCTCTTTATCCTGGAGGGGAGGCATTATCTCATCCCTTAGGGTCACTCGCTGTCAAAACAACCCTGAGAAATGGTGGCCGGGTAAAAAATGGCAGGACCTTCCATTCTTGTTATGTCCAGGAAGATACATAGGAACTCATGGAGTACTGTGTCTCCCGACAACCAAAGGTAGCCAAGGGGATCCCCTGAGTTCCAGCGATCTTCTGCCCCATGGATGGCTAGAGTCAGGCACCTAGCTAAATGTAATAACTTTTGTTCTTTTTACCCAGTGGCACGAGGAGCCCAAAATGACAAGGTCACAGTCTTAACTTGCAGTTCTGTAAAAATATTGTTGTATTATTTGGTTGAATCATTCTTTTTAGGGTTCCTAAATCTCTAGACTTATAGAATCCATCCCCAGAAAGACATTACTAAGATCAAAATTAGTGACAGGAACTCTTCCATCCCTTGGTTGCCAGGCTAGTTCTGACTACAGAGAAACCAGTCTGTCTATATAAATTATATACAATCAGATCATTTGAAAGTGGATTCTGCTGCTTAAAGAAAAAAGTTTGGCCCCAGATAGGTGGCTCATTTGGTTGGAGTGTAGTCCCGTACACCAAAAGGGTTGAAGGTTCGATTCCCAGTCAGGGTGTGTAGGGGAGGCAACCAATTAATCTTTTTCTCCCTTCCTCCCTCCCTCCCTCCCTCTCTCTCTCTCATTCCTTCCCTCTCCCTTTTTCCTTCTCTCCCTTCTTCCTCCCCTCCTTCCTCTCCTATATTCCTCTCCTACATCCCTCTCCTTCCCAATCCCTCTCCTTCCCTTCCTCTCTCAAATCAATAAAACATATCCTTGGATGAGGATTATAAAAAGAAAAAGAAAACCACTGATAAGGCTTTTTTTTCTCTGAAAAGGAGAACGTAGTGTGTCTGTCTGTCTGTCTGTGTCTATAGCTGTCTATGTGTGGTATTGGGAACAGAGGGCAAAAGAACTGCAACATGGAAGGGAAGAACATTTCTAACGTTCACCACACCCAAAGGAAAGGAAATGAGGTCTCAAGCTTATGTCTGTCTTCCTAATTTTGGGGTGTGTGTGTGTGTGTGTGTGTGAGAGAGAGAGAGAGAGAGAGAGAGAGAGAGAGAGAGGGAGATCTCAAGATTCTAATCTAATTAAGTTAGAGCTTAACCCTACCAGACCGCTGTACCGATTTTTCGGTAATTTCCACACAAAGGTGGAATATTGGCGCCAGATGAAAGGTAGACCTATTTTCTACAATGTCTCCAAGTTCCATCTTATTCTAACCACTTGTTTGCATGTAACTAACATTTTTCTATATCATGTTGGTTTTTTCTCTTTAATGCTCAGGAGCCCAGGTATAGGGGACAGTTAGATTCAGGGCCTCAGGTCTGGTAGGATTAAGACACTGCTGTTTTATTAATGATGCCCACCTACTTCTAGTTAAGGAGGACCATAAGCTGTGTCTTATGGTAGACTCTAGAAGCTGGATTGGGGTCCAGCCATCTTTTTTTTTTTTTTTTTCCTTGCAGGACATAAAAATATGCAGATTCCAAAATGTAGGTTATTGGTTTGCAGAGGTGAGTAGAAAGACCTATGTATATGGGCTTCTTAAGAAAAGCCTAATTTTCCAACTTTGTTTTATTAGAGAAGCACTGCATAATGGGGGATTACCTGACTACCTGTCAATAGTATGATCTCTCTTTTTTTTTTTTAATTTTAGTAAATCTTTATTGTTCAGATTATTACATTTGTTCCTCTTTTTTCCCCCCATAGCTCCCCTCCACCCAGTTCCCACCCCACCCTCTGCCCTTACCCCCCCACTGTCCTCATCCATAGGTGCACAATTTTTGTCCAGTCTCTTCCCGCACCTCCCACACCCCTTTCCCCACCAAGAATAGTGAATCCATTCCCTTTCTATGTCCCTGATTCTATTATAATCACCAGTTCATTCTGTTCATCAGATTATTTATTCACTTGATGATAGATGCATATTTGTTGTTCAAAATTAGTATCTTTACCTTTTTCTTCTTCTTCCTCTTCTTAAAGGATACCTTTCAGCATTTCATATAATCCTGGTTTGGTGGTGATGAACTCCTTTAGCTTTTCCTTATCTGTGAAGCTCTTTATCTGACCTTCAATTCTGAATGATAGCTTTGCTGGATAAAGTAATCTTGATTGTAGGTTCTTAGCATTCATCACTTTGAATATTTCTTGCCACTCCCTTCTGGCCTGCAAAGTTTCTATTTAGAAATCAGCTGACAGTCGTATGGGTATTGCCTTGTAGGTAACTGAGTTTCTTTCTCTTGCTGCTTTTAAGATTCTCTCTTTGTCTTTTGCTCTTGGCATTTTAATTATGATGTGTCTTGGTGTGGTCCTCTTTGGATTCCTTTTGTTTGGGGTTCTCTGCGCTTCCTGGACCTGTAAGTCTATTTCTTTCACCAGTAGGGGAAGTTTTCTGTCATTATTTCTTCAAATAGGTTTTCAATATCTTGGTCTCTCTCATCTTCTGGCACCCCTATAATTCTAATGTTGGTACGCTTGAAGCTGTCCCAGAGGCTCCTTACACTATCTTCGTATTTTCGGATTCTTTTTTCATTTTGCTTTTCCGGTTGGGTGTTTTTTGCTTCTTCGCATTTCAAATCTTTGCCTTGATTCTTGCGCTCCTCTGGTCTGCTGTTGGGAGTCTGTATAATATTCGTTATTTCAGTCCGTGTATGCTTAATTTCTAGTTGGTTCTTTATCACAACATCGAGGGTGTCATTAGATTTCTTGAGGATCTCAATAACTTTATCGGCAGCTTCTAGACAGTTCTTGAGAGACCTTAAAAGTGTGGTTCTGAACTCAATATCCTCCATTGACAGTTTTGTCCTGTTTCTTTGTCTCCGCATTTTTTATGCTTTCTTGGTGCACCCCCTAGTGGTCTTTGTGCGCAGTCTTGTTGTAGTTAAGCCTTGATTGTTGTAGTTAATACTAGGGGGATTTGACCTCCAGGCCAACTGGCTGTGAGAATCAGCTGTGTCTGCAGTGGGAAAACTTCTGTCCTCTAGGGAGGTGCTAATCTAGCCTTTGCCTGAGGCTATCCAGCAAATGGCTCTGTGCAGGGCTTGGGCGGGGCGGGTCGCTCAGGATCAACAGGGCGGGTGGAAGGAGCAGTTATGGCTGCTCTTGGTCCCATCCCCAGAGGCTCTGCCTCTCAGAGTCCCAGCAACCGCTGCAAACCTCAGAGAGAAAGCTGCCCTCGCGTTCTGACCGCTGCCAGACAGTCCCACTTCTCCCGTTTGAGTCTGGGTCCCCAGAGACTCGCCCAGAACTGGAGCTCAGAATCTGAGACTCCCTCCTGATTGAAAACGACAACCGCGCCCTCAGCTACCAGCCCGCTCCGCGTGTACCTCCACACCTTTGTATTTTCTGCACTGCGCCTCCTCTGAGTCTCGTATGCTGTTCTCTTTCCTTCTAGTTGAAGAATTTCCCCTCAGCCAGTCTTCCTGTGGTTCTGGGCGATGTCCGTTCCGTCTTTTAGTTGTATTTGTGAAGTGGTTGTTCGAGGCAGCTAACTCCGGTGTTTACCTATGCCGCCATCTTGGTTTTCCTTTTCCAATAGTATGATCTCTTGTATCTCATTTCGACATTGGTCCTTATATAAACTTCCTGCATTGGTAGGATTCAGACACCCAAGTCCCACCCCACTCCAACAGAAGTTAGCTGGACCTAGTAGCTGTAAGTTCTTATTTCCAAGTTTACTTTGTCTTTTAGGGTATCTATTTTCTTACTGGCACAGGGAGTGCTTTGTTCTATCTTCAATGCTGACGAAGCATCCTCTATCAATAACTGTTCTTTTGTGTGTCCTCTGAAGACTAGTTTAGGAACTTATTTAAGTTTTTACTCCAGAAAGCTTTGAAATGGATAGATATCAATTAAGTTCACTTCCATTTCCCATCTCAATTTTTTCTCAATATTCATTCGTAGTGTTCCAGAGAGTCTGCAGTGAACTACATGACTTAAAGCATTGCATCTAATTCCAACTAGCAACATAAAATCCCCCAAATTTGATTCCTATGAGCCCTCTTATTAAATTCCCTCAACTGTGATCGCCTATAAATTAAAATGATAGCAATTGAATTGCAAATGTCTGCTCTCCCTGGTTTCTTAGACTGCTCAGTCTCAGCAATAAGGCATAAGCCTAAGTGTTTGGGTATCAGGATAGCTTCCTCAGCCGCTGCAGTGTAGGCTGCCTTCCACTGGAATAGATTTCATATAATACCTCTAAAGCTGAATTTCCCAATTTCAAGGTAGTGGGTGCCACATGCCACTTGTTTTTTTTGCATGTCAAAGGGACCCTAGAACTCTTAAGATTAGCACAGCATCCTCCCCATCTCCACAAACCTGAAGAGATCCAAGCAAATCTCCTCTATCTCTATAGTAAATAGTGCAGAGGTTGACATTATTATACAATCCTAACCCACATTATTGTTCCCAGCCAAAAAGAGAACAGAAACTTCCATTTCTGAAGAGGGTTTTTCAAAAACATAAAATCTTGGCTTTTGTGGTTGAGAGGTTGCCAGTTTATCAGCTGTTTGTAATTGATAGACTCTAAGACTAAACTCACTGGGAGGACTCACTTATCAAAGGCTAACAGGGACACTATGTTTACCATATAGAGAAGGAATTTCATCTATGCGTAATAATGTTTCATAAGACACATTGTTTTTCTTAGACAAAATTTTAGACACTTGCCAATAAGATGTACTCGGCTGCTGGGTCTCCTAGAGTTTCCCCTTTTCCCCTGTTCACTTGGGGGCAGAATTTTGGAAGAAGAATGAGCCCGGAGGCCTGGCTCCATGTGACCACTACCATACCCTTGCCCATCCTATAGTCACTCTTCCACAAGTAACAGTTCAAGAAAAGGACTGAAACTTCCTTCCCCAGAGGAAGAAGGAGTACATTAAGAGCCAGAAATCGAATGTTTCCATAAAAGTGTAACAGTTATCCCAATACCATTTTTCAATTATCTGATCTCTCACTACATTTTTTGAATTTATACTTTATTTTTTAGAGCAGTTTTAGTTTTACAGAAAAATTGAGCAGAAAGTGCAGTTTCCATTTACCCCTTCGCCCTCACCCCCACAGTTCCCCCTATTATTAACATCTTGCATTCGTGTAATACATTTATTACAACTGATGAGCCAATATTGTGACATTATTAATAACCATAGTTTACATTAGGGTTCACTCTTTCTGTTGTACATTCTATGAGTTTTGACAAATGTATCATGACATGTATCAACTGTTACAGCATTCTACAAAATAGTTTTACTGCCCTAAACTTTGTCTGTGCTCCACCCTCTCACCACATTTTTGAAATGGTATCTTTATCATATATCAAATTTCCACTTGTTTCAAACCTGAATGAGAATGCCTTTCCTGTTTCACCATTAAATGCGATGTTTGCTATGGAGTTCTGATATTTGACCTTTAGTATACATCGTTTTCTTTATTAAAGTCTCAGGAAGTGAATTTTATTCAACAGTCTTTTCCATCTATTGAAGTTTTTCTACAAGAAGTTTTTCTCTTTTAACCTGTCAATATGATGAATTGCATTAATAGAATTACTTTTTGAACCCTCCTTGCATTCCTAGAACAATATTTGACTAATACCCTGCTGAGTTCAGTTTGCAAATACTTGACATATCTGTAAGTCAGTCTCTAAAGGAAGAAAAAAGTGCAAAGAAAATGTGACCAGAATAGCAACTGGCAGTTAAAGAAAAAAGAAGACAGCAAGAAAGCAAAATAAATAGCATAAAAGAAGATGGCATTTGTAAGGTAAAACATAAGTTATCAGTAATAAATATGAAGAATTAAACACTACTAAAAATATTCTTATCTAAGATGAGAACTTCCAACTAAGTCACAAAAATCTGTGCTGTTTATAGGAGACTATTCAACAACTGAAATTAATACAAAGATATAACTAATATGAGGGACATAGAGAAATCTCAAGGGTTATTTTTCTTGTTTTATCCAGTGAACATGTATTGCTCAACAGGTACTTTTTGTTTCTCTTCATTCACCTAGGACTTGTTACCTCTCACATTCTCCAATTTACCTGAGTCTCTTTCTCTTCCCATTTCCTATCTGTGGTTACACCTCTTCCCCAGATGACTGATAGCAGAGGGAACTCTCTCTAGGTCAGTCCCATCTCTTGTTGAAACCTCTTGATCTACTGTAGTACAGTCAAGTAAATGTACCATTTGGATAAAAAAGATTCCTCCCCTTTCCCCCCCACCCCCCATACACACAACATTAATATCCAGCCAAAGATTAATTTTAGAGTAAGATTAAATTACTCTACAATCCCTCTGATTTCCCTAATGTCCTCCAGTGCCTATTAAATCACTCCACTAAAACTCCTATTGCTGAGAATGCCTTGGAAAGGTTTTTGGCTACATTTCTGTTTAGCTCTCTCTGCACTTTCTGGAACTTTTCATCAGCAGCCATAGATCCCTCCCCTATCTTATTTGCTTGCTATCCTGTCAATATTCTTTTCCTCCTTCCTTTCCTTCTTTGCTCCCTTTCTTTTTCTCTTTTTTTCTCTTAAGTAACTTGATCAGCTTGTTTTGGTGGTAACCAAATCATTAGTTTGGTTTTTGGTACCTGAGTATTGTTGGGTTTTTTTGGTGTGGTTTGTAGCAAAATTACCTGAGAGTTATGCCTACTCTGAACCTCCTCCCCAAATAAAAGGAAATAACATTTTTAAAATTCAAGACATTATTGGAATAACAATAGCTTTAACTTTAAGAAATCTACAAATAATTTCTAAGCAGTACTATAGCCTTATAAAAATCTTCAAATAAGCCATAAAAGGGAAATTATGTTCATCCTTTAGCCAACTGTTTAGGGCCCATTTCCTTTCTCAATCTAAGCATTACCGTCTTACTTGGATTTTTATTCCTGGAGTGATAAAATAGGAAATAGCAGTGACTTATCTATCAGAAACTAGATTAATAGTTATAGCAAAATACTTTAAAAATGCAAAATGCCATATCCTCTGAGCTATTTCTATGAGTGAGAGATTTTTTTTTACTCTGAAAATACTATTTTCCTCATTTTCCCAGTTCCTAAGAGTGTTTAACATATCCCAGGCTATAAATTTTCTCTGAGCCTTACCTATAAATTATATATTTAATTTCAGTAAGAAGTTGAAATTTTATTTTACAGAAAGGACATTTTTTTCCTTGAGATTCATCTCTAATGGTTCTAATAAACCTTACTTTTTTCTTTAATTTTCAATTTTTCCAACATTTGTAGTACTTAATTTAAATCTGCCTTCTTTCAGCAACCTACAGTGACGACTGTTTTGGCTTTGGTCAGAAATCACAATTTAAAAGTGACTGGTATCCAGCTCCTATCAGAAGTACATTTGAGAGAAGTGTTGTTTACGGAAAGAGTGCTGCATGGACATTTGGTTCATCCACTCTGTATTCTGAGTTGTTTCTGTTTCAATTTAGATCTATGAAGGCTACCGTCTTGGGAAATGCAGTGTGTACTCTCGATTTTATCAAGGATAGATCATTTTTAAAAGCAGATTGTTGCCCTGACCGGTTTGGCTCAGCGGATAGAGCGTCGGCCTGCGGACTGAAGGGTCCCAGGCTCGATTCCAGTCAAGGGCATGTACCTTGGTTGCGGGCACATCCCCAGTGGGGGGTGTGCAGGAGGCAGCTGATCGACGTTTCTCTCTCATCGATGTTTCTAACTCTCTATCCCTCTCTCCCTTCCTCTCTGTAAAAAAATCAATAAAATATTTAAAAAAAAAAAAAAAGCAGATTGTTATGTTTGAAAAGCATACATTTACACAATGGAATACTATTCTACTGTAAAAACAAAGAAAGTTGTTTTTGTTTTTTAACGAGGCATTGCATTTCTTTTTTTCTTTTTGTTTTTTGTTAATCCTCACCTGAGGATATTTTTCCATTGATTTTTTTTTTATGGAGAGTGGAAGAGAGAGGGAAACAGAGAGAAACATCGATGTGTCTCACATCGATTGGTTGCCTCCTGCGAGCCCTGACCAGGGCCCTGGCCCGAGGGGAGCCTGTAACCAAGGCATGTGTCCCCGACTGGAACCGAACCCGGAACCTGCTGGTCCCCCGGCCAGTGCTCTGTTCACCGAGCCAAACCAGCCAGGACAAAACAAAGAAAGTTTTAAGCCTTTGCAACAGAATGGATGGACCTGGAGAACATTATGTAAGCGAAATAAGTCAGTCAGAAAAAGACAAGTACCATATGATTTCATTCATATGTGGAATTTAATGAACAAACTGAACTACCAAACAAAATAGAGCAGACTCATAGATAAAGAACAAGCAGACAGCTCTATTGGAGGGATGGGGAGTAAGTGCATAGGGATTAAGCCAGAAAGAAAAACCATTAAGGACATTGTCATTATGTCATTTACTGTCCCCATAATATCTCACTGTGATAAATAGCTTAGAATTTGCCTCAGAAAAAAAAAAATTATCTTCCCTATAAAATTAGTAGACTACTTCTTTGCTGATTATAAAGATTTCCTAACTGTTGGGAAGCTCAGTGCCTGATTTTGGTACAGAAAACTCATGACAGCACTCTGTAAGTCCTTCCTAAATAGGTCATATTATAAACAAATTCTGTACTGGAAAAATAAACAAATTTAAATAGGAAATAGAGATAAAGCATTTGACAAGCACCTGTTTAATATGTTTGCTAAACCAGAACCTTAAACAATGAGCCCCTTTTGATTTTATTTCCTTCTCTCTCTTGATTAGAAAACATTGTGTGACGTGATCCTTATGGTCCAAGAAAGAAAAATACCTGCTCATCGTGTTGTCCTTGCAGCAGCCAGTCACTTTTTTAACTTGATGTTCACAAGTAAGTATCTTAAGGTCAAACATATTATTTATTCTATGAGAATGAGATGGGTCTAAATGAAAACATGCCATTTTTTCCTGGTCTATAAAGAAGTTAAGATTATAGAAGAGTGAAGAGATTGAAAAGTGGTCATGGTTATGATTAATCAAAGGAATCATGTCATTTCATTCACCCTAAAAGCCCCAGGTCTCTATTTATGGGGATACAGCTTCTACTTAAATACCTACAGTTTTCTTCTTAACCTCTGGTGGAAAGGCAAAGGAACAGATAAACCTTATGACATTTTATCCAGCAAGTTAAATTAAATAAAAATGAAATATTGCATACTAGTGGCCTGGTGCACGAGTTCGTGCAGATTGAAAGGAAATTAATTAGAAGAAATATTTTAATATTGCTATTCGCCCTTTCTCTATAATGGAAGTGTCAACCAAATTCAGTCAACAATGATAGATCGAAACACACATGTGTGATTGGCACCAGTGAAAGTTTTATATGTATCACACATGTGCGAGTCAACTTAGCCTTTTACATATATAGAATAAACTTGCTTAATTAGACCTGCTTTCTGATGTAGCTAAACTTTTTCCAGCCCAGTGAAGCACTTCTCTTTCAGGTAATTGTCAGCAACACAGCAGTAAATATCAACACAAAACAGATTATTATTGTAGATCACACAGGGAGAAGGGTAAAATATTTAACTGCAGCAGTGTTTGACTATATTCTGCACAGTGAGAAAACCTGAAGTCATTTTCAAGGTCCACCATTTCTTACTTCTTTTCAGTCGGGTCAAGTTTCTAAGCTTTCTAAATCTCCATTTTCCTGCTAATGAAAAGAAAATAGGATTCCACTAAATCTCCTATATGTCTACTCCAGGACTTCTGTGAGGATCAAATGAGATGAGGCATGAGAAAACACTTCACAGACATTTGGTTAAAGTGTAAATGTTTCCACCTGGCTATAAAGCAAGTCGGGTTCCTGGGCTGAAAAAACTGCAAGGAGGCTAGTTGCTAAGGAGAGGAAGCCAGGCGTTGCAACGTGACATCATTACCTGGCGCCCACAGTGACCGTTTCTGGGCTGGCCATGGGGTCTCACAGTGTTGGCTGCAATTTGGTGGGCTGTCATTCCAGGGTGGTGGCGGGGCCTGTGACCTACTTGGGGGAAGCCAAGTGTTGCTTTGTCGGCGCCAGGTCCACACTGCCGTTTCTCTGTAAATGGTCTGTGCGTGTCATAGCGACCTGTTGGACAGGTGGAAGGACACTTAGCATATTAGCCTTTTATATAAATAGATAATACTAGAAAGAATCCTAGAGTTGGAGTTGAGAATTGGGTCCAAGTCCTTGTACCTCTACTGAGTACTGTTTCATGAGCCTCATCAAGTTATGAAATGTATCTACCTGCCAGGATTTTGGGGAAGAGGAGAGCTTTGCTAGTTGTAGCTGACTGTATATAATGGTCATTTTTCTCATAGGTTTGTTTTAGCAACATCAGAGGCATTTTGCTCATAGCAATTTAAAAGAGTGCTACTAAATTATTTTAGAAGTTGGGAAAATACTAAGTCCAGTTTTATTTCTCTCTGTTCACTTGCCCCCCCCCCCCTTTTTTAAGAAGTGCACTAATTCACTGATTTCTTAGATAATTTTAATTTAAGGCATATCTCAAGTGTGGAGAATTAATTTGCTTTTATTATAGGAATGTTGGGCTTTCTGGAGTATTTTCCAGAGAAGTCCTTGTCCTTTTATTCCTCTCCATATTTACGTGGCCTGGAACAAGCTGTTTCCTCCGTGGTGGTACTCATGCCATTTGTGTTTCTCTTCTTCATTTTAGCTAACATGCTTGAATCAAAGTCCTTTGAAGTAGAACTCAAAGATGCTGAACCTGACATTATTGAACAACTTGTGGAATTTGCTTATACTGCTAGGTAAGTTAAGGAGGACTATTTCTGTAGTGGAGGGATAAGGTTGGGATCTAACATGGCAAAGCATTGTAGCAAATCAGTGTGTTCCAGATTCTTCAGAATGAAAAACTTCAAGGATATGGCCCCGGTGGGGAGGTTGGGTGCGGGGAGGGGGTTGTGTTGACAGGAGGGGGAAGTTGAGTGTCCTCTGCCATACTAATTCAAGGACTGAAAGTTTAGTTTTTTGCTTAATTTTAGGGGCTACTGGGATGCAATCTACAGTAGCATTATTTAAATAAAAAAATGTAGGAAATTAATATTCACTTTAACTTATTTGCAGAATTTCTGTGAATAGCAACAACGTTCAGTCTTTATTAGATGCAGCAAACCAGTACCAAATTGAACCTGTGAAGAAAATGTGTGTTGATTTTTTGAAAGAACAAGTTGATGCTTCAAACTGTCTTGGTAAGAAATCAAATTCCTATTTAAACACACACACACACACACACACACACACACACACCATTAATGTGTATTTTAGTAAAAAAAAATTACTGTATCCCCATTTTAATCTTAAAGACACTAGAAATTTTTCTAGTAATACATTTTAAGAAGAGCTTAGGGAAGTACATATTAACTTGGGCAGCAATGAGCTCATCAAATACTGTATCAGTATGTTCCAAAATATATAATAGCTTTATTAATGATTTTTTGTTTATCTAGAAAGGAGTAAGGATTGCATCTGGTGGTGGTGTGTGATATATGATATCGTAAACATGAATGTTTACCTGTGTTGAAGACCTTATGATTACTGTGATCTGTCACAGATAAGGAAACTAAGTGTATGTAACTTGCAGAGATCATATAGCTGATATGTGGAGGAGCTGGGGTTGGAACTCAAGCAGCCTTATCTTCACTGCTACACGGTGCTGCCTCTCCACAGTCAGATCTGCTAACTTGTATACTAGAAGCCTTAAAAATCCTAGACTGTACAGTAAGATACCAATTAAGGGGTTGCTGTAGCACTCCATTTTAAAGCCATTAATAAAGTAGTTTGTATTTGATACCAGGAGAAACAGAGAAAGTTGATCAGAGTTTTCCAGAGTGCGGTGTGGTATGCTTCCACTGTGAGATGCTCAGCAGCACATGAAAGAACATCCAGATCCTTGTAATTACATTTTCCTACTCTTGCTGTGATTCAGAGTGGAAGAGGATCAGGGTAGGAGTCTAGGAAAGAAAGTGAAATCAAGGACAAAAGAGAGAGGTCTGGGAATCCAGCCGATGCTGAGATTTTTGACCCATGGGAGAAAATGAGGGGTGCTGATGACAAGAAACCAAAGGCTGGGCAAAGGGCTCCTGGAGATGCACAAGAAGTTCGGCAAGCCTCCTCTGTTCCCCCTTTTCTAGGCTCCCTCCTCCTGGACAGTTTCATTGCTCCATCTGGCACCCCTTCCCCTCACTGTGAGTGCAGAGATAAAGATCATAGAAGAGGAAGCGGAATAAATTTTAGGGAAGGATCAAAGCCAGGCAAAGGCGATGAGAATGAGATTGTTTCTGGTATCCAGAAAAGGAACTGAACCAAATGGGACAGGAGGGGAAATAGCTGTGCAGATGAATATACTAATGGAATTCTTTTTCGAAGGTAGCCATTGGTTTACATAGTGAAAATACCCTATATTAGGAATAAAAGACCAGCCTTCAACCCCAATAGAGACACTCTGGGATGAGCCCTTTTATCTCTTGGTCCATAATTTGTGGCTCCATATATCAATGAGATTTATATTCCTGAGATTTATTTTCCCTTATATAAATAAATTTGCTCAAAATGTATTATCAAAAAAAGGATTTTGAAGAGGATTTGGAAGATGATGGCTTAAGTGTGTTTCCCTAACTCTCTAAATTTCATCCTGGGGTGATTCATCTATAATATAGGGAGTGGATGTGGCAGTACAAAGCATAGTGTGGAACCTAAAGCAAGTTAGTGCTGACCACATCTTAAGCTTTGGACTTCTGAGGAGACCATTTAGGAGTTTGACCTCTGGATGTCAACGTTGATTACAAAGCTGGGAGGAAGGGCAGCCTGAAAGTCTGGCTAAGCCTGAAGCAAAGACAGTGGCCCAGCCAGATGAGCCAAGTGCAGCTACTCAGTACCCCAGTGAAGTGCTTCAGCCTGTTTTCTTTTTAGCCCTGAGCATAGCTCCCCCTGAGAGCTGATTGGAGAACTCCCATCTTATTTTTCATCAGTTGTCAATTTCTGCTACCCAGAAGATCCCAACAGTCTGACTTCTATGAGTGCTAAAGGAATCCGTGACAGCTGATGGAATTAGGCAAAGGGCATATGTACAAAGTTAAAAGAAAACCAGTAGTTTGAGGGGCAGGAACTCAAGATAAACAGCCAAAATGAATGGCTGCTATAGCCATTTAACATAAGAAATGGAAGAGAGCTTAAAATAGAAAGGATCCATGAAATTCCATTGAATTTAAAAAATAGAATGGAATACCTAAAAAATAAATTAAATAAATAAATAAATATCAAACAGAAAATTGCCTCATGATACAAAAGAAAAATGCAAAGAATCGGAAACAATTATTGAAAAGATAAATGACAAGAAAAGAAGATATAGGGACACTAATTTGAAGTAGGAATTTCAGAAGGAACAGGTGGAGAAAAGGCAATAACTTAATGAGAGCCTGAGTACAGAATCCCAATGTTTTCTGGATTTTATCACTTTTCTTGGTCATGCCTAATTTGAGCTTTTTTTCAAATCTGTCTTAAACCTTAACATTACTTTTCAGCTCCGGCTGGCTTTGCTCAGTGGATAGAGCATTGTCCTGCAGACTGAAGGGTCCCAGGTTTAATTCCAGTCAAGGGGACATGCCCTGGTTGTGGGCTCCATCCCCAGTAGGGGGCGTGCAGGAGGCAGCCAATTGATGATTTTCTCTCATTGATGTTTCTATTTCTCTCTCCCTCTCCCTTCCTCTCTGAAATCAATAAAAATATATTTAAGAAAAAAAGATTACTTTTTATAGAAACAACTACTTTTCACATTCATATTTTATTGATCTGTATGGTATTTAAATAGATTGCATAATTGCAACACATTCAACTATCAAAAACTAGACGATAAACAAATACTGGTTCTTAGTGAAAATGCCATCTCCTTGATGGGAGCATAAGTGTACAGATATGTCCGACTGCTCAACATGAAAATCTGCCATGCATGGCATCAGTCAGTACATTTATAATGTGACAGGTTTATTAACAGGCATTAGTTATTAGAACTTTTAGGATATAAATAATAAAGCTTCAAAGCTCATTATCTGAAGACAACATGAAGTTGAAACATGGAAAACAACGATAATGAACTGAAAAAATTTATATCATGACTCTGAAGGGAGATCACATATAATAACCAATGGTTTTACTTAGGAGAGAGATTGGCAAACTTTTTCTGAAAAGGGAGAGATAGTATGTGGCCCTTCTCACTCCTCCTTGTCCTCCTCCTCCTCCCGCTTCCTTCCCTTCCCCTCTTTGTTCCTTCCCCTCCCCCTCCTTCTTCCCTGGGGGAGAATATATATATACACAACACTTCAAAAATATTAAAAAATATTCTTAGCTGCTGACTCTACAGTGGAATGTGGCTAAATATAGCCAATCGACAGTAAGGATTTTGCAGATTCCTGATAATGTAACATTATAAATCAATTAATAATTTCTCTCCCAAACAAAAATTAAATTGCAAGGAAAAGGCTGAATGGAAAATATAGGGTTTCTATGAATAAAATTGTATAATTACATTAATAATAAAAAATATGAATAAATGAGATATGTCATGTTCCTAAGTGGAAGTCTTCCAGATTGCTGAGTTGTCACTGTCCCCAAAGTAATTTAAAAATTAAGTTTAATCCTAGTTAAAATCATACCAGGATTTTTTTTTTTTTTTTATTGATTTTTTACAGAGAGGAAGGGAGAGAGATAGAGAGTCAGAAACATCGATGAGAGAGAAACATCGATCAGCTGCCTCCTGCACATCTCCCACTGGGGATATGCCCGCAACCCAGGCACATGCCCCTGACCGGAATCGAACCCGGGACCCTTCAGTTCACAGGCCGACGCTCTATCCACTGAGCCAAACCGGTTTCGGCCATACCAGGATTGTTAAAGTAGAATGTGATAAGCTTATTTTAAAATTAATATACAAGAGAAAATGTTTAACCTAGCCAAGAAAAGCTTGAAAAAATGTTGAAGGGGGCTTGTCCTACAAAATATCAAAATCAGTCATACATAAAATGGCATAAAAATAGACAAATCAATGGAAGAAAAAATAACTCAGGTTTATGAAATTCATGAAGGCTTCTTGGAGTCATATTTTATCTTCAGTGTAGGTTTAGGCTTTTTTAAAGGTGATTTTCTATTCATTTTCTTTCTGTGTTTAGGTATAAGTGTGCTAGCAGAGTGTCTAGACTGTCCAGAATTGAAAGCAACTGCAGATGACTTTATTCATCAACATTTTACTGAAGTTTACAAAACTGATGAATTTCTACAACTTGATGTCAAGCGAGTTACACATCTCCTCAACCAGGACACTTTGACTGTGAGAGCAGAGGATCAGGTGACTAAACTGCCTTCTCAAATTTTTCTTAGTAAATGTCTGTATTAAATCTCATGCTTCATGTTGTGATACATGACAAGAAAAAGAATCAATTAGAAAAGAATGTGTTTTTCATATAGAGTATCCCAAAGTTTGTTTCATAGGAAAAGTTAGGCCACTTGGTAGACACAAAGCTGTTGGGTACCATCGTAGGCAGAACAGTGCCTCCCCCAAGAATGTCTATATCCTAATCCTTGGAATCTATGAATAGGTTACCTTACATGGTAAATGGGACTTTAGAAATGTGGTTAAGTTAAGGGTCTTGAGATGAGATTATCCTAGTGGGCTCCATCTATAATAATACAAGTGTAATATGCAAATCGACCGAGCAGCCTAACAGCGCAACGATCCAGATGACCTTCCAGACGAAGCCGGGGCTATAAGGGCCAAGCCCCTTGCACGAATTTCGTGCATTGGGCCTCTAGTGTAATAATAAGCATCCTTAAATGTGGAAAAGGAAAACAGAAGAGTCAGTGTCAGAGTGATGCAATGTGAAAAAGACTTAGCTGGCCATTGCTGACTTTGGAGATGGGAGGAAGAAGCTGCAAGCCAAGAAATGTAAGTGGTTGCCAGGTGCTGGCAAAGATAGGGAAATGCTTTCTCCTGGATAAAGCATTGGATAAAAACTAAAGAAATTGTTGAAAAGTACGAAGTTCAGTTAATAATTATGTATCAATAGTTGTAATAAGAGTATCATACTAATGTAACATTTCAACAACTGGGTGCAGGATAATTGGGAACTCTGAACTACCTTTTTAACTTTTCTGTAATCTAAAACTACTCCAAAAGAAAAAGTTTATTTAAAAAAATAGACCAATTCCCATAAAAAATGAACTCATAGGGAGATTAGAGCTTAGGCCTTGTTAATACCAACCCAAAATTAACAACTTTATCTAGCTCAATGTTTAGATGGTAGATGTGTATGTATATGAAATAATGTTTGCTTTCAGTGTGTTTAAACTGTGATTTGTTAATCAAGTTATATTAATAAACTTGGATTTATTTGGTACAGTTAAATGAGCCACAGTATTGTTTTAGAAAATTATTCTTATATAAAAATCTTATAATTTATTTTTTAAATATAAAATTTGTATATTATAAAGTTTTTGGAAAGTAGATAAGTCTATCATTTCACAATTCAAGCATATTATATTAAATAAAATCATAGGTGACTTTCACATCTTTTGAGGTGGAAGGCCTCTTAGGAAATTAACCTGTTTTCCTGTTACCAAATGAACATATATTGATTTTTTTCAATAGAAATATGCATCATATCTCCTTCCCAAAAGGGAATGTAATTTGTTTTGAAAACCCATAAATTCAACATTCTCCCTGTCACTACATTATGTAGTAATAATTTTAAAAAACATGTTACCTAAAAGAATCACTAGAGCAGTGTGTAAACTGTTCTAAAATATAGGCTTTGTTTTGTTTGGGTATGAAAGCAAATATTTGAATAAAATATTGGGAATAGTGGTTATGAGATTCTTCCCCTTCGCTGTGAGAGTAAATCTAGGTAACTGGAAATGTTCCTGCCATCTAAGAACTTTACTAAGCTGTTTTTCCCCCCTTAGGTTTATGATGCTGCAGTCAGGTGGTTGAAATACGATGAACCTAATCGCCAGCCATTTATGGTTGATATCCTTGCTAAAGTCAGGTTTCCTCTTATATCAAAGAATTTCTTAAGTAAAACAGTACAAGCCGAACCACTTATTCAAGACAATCCTGAATGCCTTAAGATGGTGATAAGTAAGTTGCTTTAATATCCATTTATAACCTTATCGTGTAACCAGTTTTTCATGGGCTTTAAAGACCATTTAGAATGAATCAGACTCAGTAGCCAGGGAGAAACATTTAAGACTTAGCTCTTCCAGATAATGAATCCTTTGAAGTTGCAGCTGTCTACCTGGATGGGGACTTAGCCCCAGTCCTTATTTTATAGGGACTCGTGTGATAGAAGGTAAAAAATATATACGTATTACTTACGCTTTGTCTCCTTTTTGTGTACGGTAATTTCCATGCACTTTGTTTCTAGTGTTTCCTTTATTTTATTTCGCCAAATAGTGATCACGTTTTCTTAAACACCTTTGTTTTGTTTGTGGGGTATTTTATCGCCTGGAGCTAATAATTGCAACATTTTTCCATTTACTTAGTTTTTCATGACTTGCAGGCTAAGTCTGCATATTCTGATTTGGCAAGGAAAGGACAGCAAGGATGTCCTCTCCTGTGTTAGATCTGCTGTCGTCCTGGACCCCAGGTCTTCCCCGTCCTTAATTCTCTCTATTTAATCTAATGTATCCCCAGAGGTTCCTGAGAAAGAATATGCAGTCAATAAATACTTAGAATCTTGACAAACCCCATATCTTTATTTACCATAAGATTGGGGAATAGTTCACCTGGTTTAGAATTATCTTGAAAATCATGTTTAGTTAGAATTTTGAAGGCATTGTTCCATTATTTACTAGTTTCCAGTATTACTTTGAGAAATCTGATGCCAATCTGAGCCTTTATTTTTTTTAATCCCTGATATTTTGAAATGTCACAATAATGTATCTTAGTGTGCATTCTTTTTTTTCCTTTTTAAGTTATGTTGGGTATTCTCTGTCTTGTCAGCCACAGATTTTTCAGTTTTCTGTTATTGGTAATATGATTCTTTAGCAATTATCTTTTTTTATCTCTCTCTGCCTTCTTGTTCTCTCTTCTGGTAGATTGCTTTAACTTTTCTTTCAGTAATTTTATTTCCACTATCTTCACTTTCTGTGAACTTTTACTTATTCTCTAATTTGTTATTTCATGTCTGTAATATCTTATTCTAACGTAGGATTGTACTGCCTTTGATTTTTCTTATCTTGTCTGTATTGCCTTTGAATTTTTTTTCATGTTTTTGTTGTTTTGGAAGCTTTTCTTAATTGATTAGTTTCATAGTGAATCATATTTGTAAGAGTGAGCTATTTTAAAACTGATAGGATAAGTTAGTATATTTGAGTGGGCTTCTCAGTTCTTTTTTTTTAAATATATATTTTTATTGGTTTCAGAGAGGAAGGGAGAGGGAGAGAGAGTTAGAAACATCAACAATGAGAGAGAATCATTGATCGGCTGCCTCCTGCACACCACTTGGTGGGGATTGAGCCCGCAACCTGGACATGTGCCCTGACCGGGAATCGAACCGTGACCTGGTTCATAGGTCGATGCTCAACTACTGAGCACACTGATCAGGTGGCTTCACGGTTCTTGGACAAACTGTAGGGTAATCGGTATAGCCGGATAATTTTTTAATTGGGCATCTCCTAATGTCAGTATCTGTAGATATTTTTTCAGGTAGCTGGATACAACATTATAATTGGACATCTATATACATTTGTCATATAGTTATTTTTTGTTTTGTGTTTGAGAATACCATTTGGTTTTTGGAGACCAAATGCTGCTGTTTGTTAGTTCTATTTACTTATTTCTGTGGCTTAAATCCTTTTGTTTTGTATTTTTACATTATGAGTTTATATTTGATTGATCTTAATTGCCAGAAATATTGGGAGGCCAGGGTTGTATTCCTGCAGATTTTGCCTGTTCTCCTCAAGAGGAGAATAGTATTTGCTTCTGCCAAGTACCCTGGGTACAATAATCCAGGACTGTTTGGAATTTTTCTTGGCTTATGGTTTCTTTGACTTACAGGTAGGTAAATTCAAACCTCAAACCTTCAGGAGAGCAGGGCTGTCATCATAAATTCTCAAAGGAGGATACCTTACCTCCACTTGGAGCTAATATTGAAACAAGCAAATGACTATTTTACCCTTCGCCCTCAGGCGGATTTTTTTTTTTTTAATCTCTCTTTTCATTAAAAGTATAGCCAGACCCTCACAGGAATACTCCCAAAGGAATAAGCCTAAGGGGAGCAAGAAGTTCCTCAGGGAAAAGGGCTGGAGTGCTTGTCCCCAGCCCTGTCCTTGGAGAGGAAAAACCTATCAATGAAGGAGCCACAGTTCATGTTTCCTTCAGGGGTCAGCACAAACAACATTGATTAGTTGCCTCCTGTAGTGCCTCAACCAGGGATGGAACCTGAAATCTTTTTGGTGCACAGGATAGCACTCCAATTAACTGAGCCACCAGGCCAGGGCTTGTTTTTTTTTTTTTTTAATTAATTAATTTATTTATTTATCTATCTATCTATCTATTTATTATATTAGTAATGATTTCAGAAAGGAAGGGGGAGAGAGAGAGAGAGAGAGAGAGAGAGAGAGAGAGAGAGAGAGAGAGAAAAGAGAGAAAGAGAGAAACATCAATGATGGGAGAGAATCATTGATTGGCTGCCTCCTACAGGCCCTCTACTGGGGATCAAGCAGCATGTGTCCTCACCCCTCAACCACTGAGCCATGCGGGCTGGGCCGGCTAGGGCTTTAATCTATCTTTTAAGGGGTCAATACCAACAACGCTTGGGCTCTTCCACCAGAGATTTTTATTTAGTTAGTCTGTGGTATGGCCCTCGCTTGCTTTCATAGCTTTCCTAGGTGGTTTCTAATGTATGTTAAGATGGAGAACTGCTGGGTTAGGAGATCTGAATTTCGGTAATTATTATTTTGGCAGCTATTGCTTAAAGGGCCGGGTAATCCACTGGTATGTAGAAGTGGATGGGGCAATCAGCATAATGGTAATTGCTGAGAATAATAAATTGGTTAGGACTCAGATCCTTACACATTTCTCCTGTCTCTTCCCCCTCATAAAGGGCTGATAGAAAAACAGTTTCACAGATAAAAGCACTATTATGTTTGGGTGGATTTTCCCCCCAAAGCATTAAAGTTCCTGTAGTTCTTAAAGAGTTGCCGTATATTTTTCTACAGGTGGAATGAGGTATCATCTCCTGTCTCCAGAGGATCGAGAAGAACTGGTAGATGGCACAAGGCCCAGAAGAAAGAAACATGACTACCGCATAGCCCTATTTGGAGGCTCTCAACCACAGTCTTGTAGATATTTTAACCCAAAGGTAACTAATTTTTCCTTTTCTTTCGGAAAGTTTTGAGCAAGTAGACACTCACCTACTTCCAGTAGTAATAACTCATGCCTGTAGAGATGTTACTGTTTATGGTGTTCCTTCACATACCTTATGAGAAACAGAGTTCTCATCTTCTTTTTATAAATTGGGAAACTGAGGCTTAGTCAGATTTCAAATGCTTCCATAATTGCTCTGGAGTGCGGCACAGTGACCACTATCAAAGGAAATGGAGCACCAGTTCTCTTATCTTACCTCATTTTGTTACAACTCCTTGTCTTCCTTATGTGCCATTTCCAATGAATATCTGCGTCTGGAGGACATGTTTTTTCTTTGTTTTTGTTCAGTAATTATGTTAATATAAAATAATACATAGTCATTTTAGAAAATTTGGAAAACCTAGAGAATCACAAGAGAAAAGAGAAAATTACCTTTAATGCAACCATCTGGAATTGATCACCAATTTTAATGTGTTCTCCAGTACATGTTTGTGCCAGTTGGGCCAACAGAGCCTGAGTCACAGGTGTAGGGACACAATTTTTAAAAATAGATGATTAATTATAACCTTACTAGAGTCCACTCAGACGTTTCTACCCCTTGTGTCTTAGACCTGGGTTTTTGGCTGTGGGGGAGATAGAACAATATTTTGCTGATACTATGATACAGTATTTGTTGGGACACAGCAGATGCCAGTCCTAAAAGATAGCACCCCATCCTTGCAAGTCTATAATTGGTATTGAGTCTAAGCATATAAGGGTCTCTTTCATCGTTTTGTAGGCCTATTTTTGGTTGAGGATAGATACTTGAAGAGTCCAGAGCATCCTGTTGACATCAGGATACTTATCTGATCTTTCTCACTGACGCGGGTGCTTGGAGGCATTGTGTGTAATACGGTAGTGGTGATGTACAAGGCATTTATCAAAACACATGGTGGCGGTGTTAAGAGTGCAAAAGACCACAAAGGCCAATCCAAATCCAGAGTAAGTATCAGTTCCAGTAAGGGCAGGGCATTGTCCCTTCAACAATAGAAAGGTCCCAGTATGGTTAGCCTGGTATTAAGTAACTAACTGGTTCCCTCAAGGTATGTTAACAAATCAAGGGCTTACTATTGGCCAATATTATTGACAAGAGTAGATCCTGACCAGTAGAGGATAGTCACATAGTGGAGGGGTAGGGGGGGTCATTAGCTTCTGTAGCCACTGGCTGATGCAGGCCTCTATCATTGCTACTGTGTTCATTCTTAAGGCCATTGAGCAAGTATCAGATTGGGGGTGGGGGAGAGATGTAGATGCAGCCCTGTCCACATGATGATTAAGAGGTTTTTGCTGCAATTGTAGGCACTCTGGATAGAATTTATATTGGACACAAATTTGTGTCCTTTCCGGACAGCCATCTGCTTTATCTTTCCTCAGTTCTCCTTGTCAGCAATCTTCCATTCTTGCTTATTCCAAATCTGTACCCATTTGGATAAATCATTCACCACTGCCTAAGAATTGATTAAAAAAAAAAAAAAACTGACCAAAGGCTTTCCGTCCTGAAAGGTATAATGGACAATAAAAGGAACTGCTTGAAATTTTGCCAAATCAGAATATGTTTCTTCTGTATGGTCCCTCAGTACCTTCCCTGCAGGGACTGTAATGCTTTAGCAGTCCTCTTTTGGCTAGTACTGTCACAAATGAACTAAGCTCAGATTTCTCAAATTTATCAGCTGATTTATAGGGACTGCCTCCATGAAGATATAATCCTGGTTGAGGGAAAAAGCCTAGTGGGTAAGGGTTGTAATTAGCTGTTCAGGTATTCTGTGCCTTTGGGACCTCCATAAGCCCAGTCTTATGTTTACATATCAGATTATTGGTTAAAAGCATGCTATTTATGATTTGGTAGATCAGATAAACTCCAAAAGGGATGAATGATATGGTCACCTGGATTCCCTTAGTGTTAGGCATTTGCTGTCTGTTAGAACTAGTGGCCAGCCATTAGATGTTTACTGAGAAAATGGTACCTGCTTAGCACTGCCTGGTGTGGCTCAGTTGTTTGGGCGTTGTCCCATGCACCAAGAGGTTTGATTCCTAGTCAGGTACATGCCCAGGTTGTGGACTCGATCCCCAGCAGGAGGTAGCCCATCCATGTTCCTCTCTCCCTCTCCCTTTCTCTCTAAAATCAATAAAAACTTTCTTAAATGGTACCTGCTTAAAGTAGGTTGGCTTGCTCCAGAATCCCAGTGGCATGCTCTGTGATCAGATTGGGACATGCTTAAAGCCACGTGCAGCCCCCTGATGCCCCAGGATCACAGTGTAGCCTGAGCAGCTGAGCTGTACTACTGTAGCCTGTCTCACTTACAGAGCATTCTCCTGCTCTGAATTTTACTTGCAGTTGGCAGCTTTTTGGTTTACCCAGTAAAAGTATAAAAGTAGGACACCCAAATACAGGATATGTGTCATCTGTAATATGTAGGAGATTCTTGGGGCAACAAACTACTCTTCATTTCCAAGGAGATCCTCAAGGTCAGACCTCCTTTCCTTGCCAGTTGAAAAGAAATTCCACCTAATGGTCTGGGTAGGCAGTAACAGAAATGTTCATTAGCCAGAATGTTAGCTATATGCCAAGTTTTAGTGGTTGTTTCAGTCTGGTCCAATAAGACCACATCTGGCCTGGCTGCAACAGAGCCACCATTCCTGGCAGCTCCTCCTCTAGTTTGGTAGAGGAGGAGACCAGCAACAGCTTCTCCTTATTATAATACTTAACATCATAATGGTAGAGTAAATATGCTGTCCGGCATCAAAAAGACCTCTTCAAGGAAGGAGGATCAGGTTAGCAATACAATCTAATAAGCACAATGTCAATGTACTTAAAAGATTGTTACACCTGCACATCTATTTCATATCAGCTAAGGTTAAGATTATTGACACTTCAGTGGCTATTTAATTTCAGTGCTTTTAAATTTTTCAGGGTCTTTTTGAGTCAAATGCCGGACATTTGTAAATATACTATTTTTCCAAATAAAAACTGAAATCATAGGAGTTTCGGTTGTAATTCTATAACCACAGCTTTCAGGTGTTGATAATAGTTATATACCCACCTAGTTCCCGAAGCCTAACCATAGTGTTGAATTTGATAGTTAAAAAGACTTAATCATGTTTTGGTGGGAATATTTCATCTTAACATAAAGTAGATAGCTATTTTGATATGCAGAGAGGCAAGGAGAATCCTGATTTCATTTAGGAGACAGTGAGCATTGTTTCTAGAATAAGGCAAATGTGGAATGACTCTTCACACTTTGTTTTTTTGGTCTGTAGCTCTAACACTTTCCTTTATTTTTTTTTTTTTTTTATTGGACAGTTGAAAAGAGATAAATATTCTGCACCAGCCTGGAGATGAGACTGTAATTTCAGAATTCTCACTTGATGTTTTCCTTACTCCTATAAATAGCCCATACTTACTGCTATTTTGCAGTCAAATGCTCTACCACTGAGCTATACCCCCAAAACTTACTGCTATTTTGTATAGTCAGCCACAAATGTTTAGACTTCTGTTGGAAAATTTCAAATAATTGAGGCAATAACTACCAATAAAAACTTCCTCTTTTTATCAATTCTCTCTTATTCTCTGATGCTAACACCATTAGAATCTCATTACATTATTTATTAAACGTTTCTATTAGAAGTACCAACCCATTCCTTCTTCTTGCTATAAAACTTCATCTTGAAAAATTTGCACCATTTACCATTATTTGTATATAACTTTTTAATATTAGTTGATTAGTCTTTTAAAACAATTGGGGAGGCTGATTTCGTTATAAATTATTATTTACCTTAAATTTCCCAAAGTGAACCTAATTCATTATTCAAGTGGACTGCTTAATAAAATGTACTATATAGGAATTTTTTTATTTTAAAATTCTTGAACTTAATATTTTCACAAATGTTAAAATGGTTTTAACTATCATTAATGGGGACCCATTTTTGTGTGTTCTCTACCAGCCAAAAATGATAATTTTTTATCTCCTTCAAAGGGGACAGTTTAAGCATTGTTATTTAAATTGGATTATCTAGAATTAAGCCAATGTCTCTGTAAACTGTTATCTTTAGATATTCTTTGGATATCACTGGTGAGAGGAGGCAGATATATTAAGTGCAAATACTTACATTAATTGCTGATTGAAAAATGATAAGAAAATCTTAATATTTTTTCTGAGAATTGACAGGGAAATCTTGGGTTGCTGTATTGAATTGAAATGATATTGTTCTTGTTATTTTCCTTTTTATAAAGCCTGCTGAGCTTTCCCTTCCCTACCTGTACCTTTTTTAAAAAAGTGTTCAAGTGCTTAGTGATTACTAAAGGAGTTATTTATTTATATACAGTGCTCTACTCTCAAATAGTAGCATGGGAATGTCTGATGATATTGATGCCTAAATAAAAGTTGATTTAATTGACCAGTTTTTATTTGGACTCTTCTTGTCAATGAAATGATGAGTTCTGAGAACTTAGAATTTTGTAAGGGTCTTGGCTCACCACTTACATATGGTAGAGAAATAAGAGAGTATGTCCTAGAGAAAAGGGGATTCTGCATATTTCCTGTCAAAAACAAAGAAGGAGTAAGTCCACAGGGTGAGGGCCAGAGCCTGTAAAGGATAAAGACAGAAAACCATAGGAAGCCATGTTACATGGAGCCATCAGGTCCAGGGGGTTTACCCTGAGTACATTTTGTTTTTCTTTTTTTTTTTTTTTAAAAAAAAAGATACCATTGTTGTTATTGATTTTAGAGGGAGAGGAAGGGAGAGGGATAGAGAGATAGAAACATTGATGCTCAACCACAGAGCCACACAGAGTACATTTTCTTACTCAGAACTCTGAAGTAGATTCATCACTGAGATTGGTGTCTGGCCCAAAGTGGGAGTAGGCACACCTTGGTTTTATTATGCTTCATTGTGCTTCACAGATGTTGCTTTTTTTTTTTTTTTTTTTAACAAATTGTCAACTACACTGTCCACAAG